AATAAGTATGCAAGTGAGAGAGCTATATCTGAATGTGCGAGTTTGTGACCCAGATTCATGTCCAAGTCATCAAGAGATTCTGAACCCACATGTAACATGCAATGAAGCCCTGGGTCACCTCCTGTCCTACATAGATCATACATGTAGAATCATGATTTCCTGGGATAAGGGTGAAATTCAAAACATTTAACCATAGGTTTGGCATGAGCATTGATAAATTCCATACATACAGGCTGCAGGGAGGCTGAAACGAGGTGGTATTGCATTGCCTCTTGAATTGCTTAGTTGTATTGCTGGGTTGTGGGGGGTCCTGAGAGAGAACTGGGGTGGCTGATGTGGTGGTGGGGAATATTTGGAGGGTTCCCAGCGGCTATTCTTTATCAACTGGGACAGAACATTTTCATTGTTTTAACAGTGAACACAATCCTATCAGAGAATACTGGCTGAATGCCAGACCTGCTTTGGGGTGGCATCTGTCTGCCTCCCCAGTCTTTAACTGTTTCCAATTTAACTTGAGCACCATATGAAAAAAGAATTAGAGAAAAAGGGTAAGTTGCAGCTGTAAGGACTGAAGCTAGACATAGGAAGGACTTTCCTTAGAGCTGAAAGCCACTAAGAGCTAGGAGGAAGCAAGGTTCTTTTCTCCTAGTCTCTGGAGAGAGGTGTTTGGCCTGGGACTTGGGTTGTGGGTTGAAGGCAAGGGATGAAGAGTGACTTCTAGGGGTACTTTCTGACCTGACACAGAGCTGATATCCTACACACATGCCTTGGCCTGCCCAGGGTATGTGGCTGCCTTGTGGTTGGGGTGCCTTGCCTGGGAGAAAGGAGGACAGAGGGCACCTGGGGTCCCCTTTAAGGGAGGTGAATAATGTCACACACACACACACACACACACACACACACACACACACACACACCAATTCCCCTCACACTGACAACAAACCTGGCCAAGAAAGAGGCCTTTGTCCTAGGACATCTGAGGCTGTAGGGGGAGGGGAGAAGGCTACAGGTGAAAGGACACATCAAAGCAGCCGCTGCCTCTCCCCAAAATAGCTCCCCTACTCCTTTCCCAGAACCCAGGCGTTCCTTAAATAAAAGCAGAGCCCTAAATGCCCACCTGCCTAAACAGCCGGAACACGAGAGACCTGGCCCTTCTCTTCAGCACCCTTCCACCTTGCTATGACTCAGTTTCCCTGTCCCTGAGAGAGTCAAGCGAGCAGAGGGAAGAAGGTTACAGCTTGTATAACGTTTAGAGGTCACTTTGGAGCGGAACATCCGCTTGGAACTCATTATGTGCATGGGAGAAACACAGACCTGGCTGGACTCCTGGGCTCAGAAGGAGGGCTGGGAGAGGCTTGAAGCCATGTGTGCCCCTGCTGGCTGGGATCAGAGTGGGGGTGGGGTGTGGGCAGAAACCACACCGGGCTCAAGTTTCCTCCCTTGGCCAGAAGGGGCAGGAGAAGAGGAGGGCCACAGGGAAAGGGGAGGGTTGGAGGAAGGACGGAGAACTCCGGGCGAGGGCTTCATAGAGGAGGCTGGTGCACCGCCCAGCAGCTTCCCCTGCTCAGTGCTCAGTGCTCAGCCTGCAGACTCAGCGCTCAGCAATGGCCAGGGGGCGGGGCACAGACCTCCCAGGTTCTCAGAGGTAGCAGGGATCCTCGCGAAGGAGGTGTCAGCCCAGGCCCAGCCTCCCCAGAGACAGCACCTGGAGCCTCATCTCTCTCTGCACCCAACTTGGAGCCTGCCACAGGTGCCTGGGGGGCGGGGTGGGAGGGGGATTCTAGTGGGATCCAGAGACAGGCTGCGGGGGCGGAGGAGGAAGAGGGAGGAAATACCCAACTTTTGGCATGTTCTTAAGAGATATCAGACCTTCCCAAGCTGCCCCTGGTTTAGGAATTTGACATCTTTGGGAACTCCTCCGGGAGAAGAACTAGATGGCTTCTGGAGTGTTCTGGGATTCTTGGGTTGAATGGCTGTGGATGGGGACCAGATGGTGGTCCGCTGAGGCACCCCTGAGGGGCTGGAGAATGACCCTGAGTAACCCTTCAGCAGGCTAGTTGCCCTGGAGAAGATCGTAGACTCCCAGGAGAAAGTACCATTCTTTCTCCTCGCCATTTCATCATGCTGCCCTGTCCAGCCGGCTGGGACAGTTTGGTGGAGGCTGAGGAATTGGAGACATTGGAAGTGTTGCAGCAAGATGTGCTGGTGGGAGGGTGGGGTGCTAGTTCTTGCCTCCCTTCGCCCTTCTCTTCTCTGGGCAATAGAGATCAGCTTGGACTGGAGGGGAGGGGAAGGATCCCATCCCCAGTGTAGTTCCTTGTACCTGGAAGTCATGGCAGCAGAAAGGGAGTGGGCAGGGAAGCAGTGGAAGGGGAGAGGGGCTGGGGCTGGGACTCTAGTCATTGGCCCCCAAAGGACTGCAGTTTGGGGTCTAGGGACCATGTGACAGGATGGCAGACACTTGTCCCTCTCCCCCTTGTTCCCGTTCACCTGTTTGAGTTATGTATGTCCCCAGGAGATTGAATCTCGTTCTGATCAACTCCATCTCCTTTTCCTCCATTCCCTTTGTTTCTCCCTCATCTATGTGTCCCTCTCCCTCTTCGGGGATTCTTCCTAATCTCTCCAAGTAGGTTGCTCACTGGCTACTCCACACCCCAAGTTTCACTGATCTCTCTTCATTCTTTCACTGCTTCTGTTGACACCTGGAAAGGTAGAGTGGCCTAGTAAGCCTCAGAAGAGGCTCCTAGAGGCAAGTGCCCCCTCTGCCTTGTCAAGGCAGTTAGAGCTCCAGGCAGCAGTTGAGGCCAAATGTCTTCCTCTCCCCAGCATCCCTCCCTACATGGTCCTCCTGTATCCCTAAGCAAAAAGCCCCGCGTCATTCTGTGAGTACTCAGGGACTGTGATGAGAGCTTTCTGGGTACGACCATCAGGACCATCAGGATGAGAACAAAGAGGGTGGATTATAGTCCCTGGAGATGGCTCCAGTCCTACCTGATACACAATGTTGGGGAGTAAGATGGCTGTGTGACCACTAAACTGGGAAGTGGAAACTGATTATTCGAAAAGAAAAGGGACACAGGGAGTCCCACTCCATTTCCCAGTATTCTCTAGTTTCTGCACCCTCTGTGATGTTCTTGCGTGTGTGCGTGTGTGTGATGTTCTTTTGGATCCAATTCTCACTGTACTCTCTTCCCCGGTTTATATCACTGGCTGCTACACTCTGGCTGATCCTCAGGAGAGTAGGATCCGAAGACGCAAGGGGCCTATGCTTGGTATATAGGCCACCACCCATCATTGAGTGTCTAGGGAAAAACATACTCCTCCCCTTTGGCCTGGTGCAAACTTGCCACTGTATCAGAAAACTGATGCGAGGTTCTCTCAACTCCCCCTTCCCCAACTTCTTGCTTCTCTCTGCTCCCCTCTGGTTCTCATTTCCCTGTCCGAGGGTGAGGTGGAGATCGAGCTCCTGGTCTTCATGAGAAGAGGCTGATATCCAGTCTCAGCCATCGGGGCAGTCAGAACCCAGTGTTGCCCGGGCCAAAGATTGGAAGCTAGGAGAAGCCTGGAGACCACTTGCTGGTTGGACCAGTTTAGTGTGTCTCAAAAACACCAGGGCACTTGTTAAAATGCTGATTGCTGGGTACCCGCACCGATGAATTCAATTCAGTAGGTCTGGGGTGGCTTTCAGCATTCTGTTTTTACGAGTACCCAGGTAATGTGGTGCACAATACAGTTTGTGACTGCCTGAGCTAGAAATAATCTACTGCCTCTCACAGCAAGGAGGTTCTTCATCCTGTTTCCATTAAATGGAAGAGACTGAATGAGAAGCAATTTGCCCAAGGTCATGCATCTGGAAGGCCAGAGAACCTTTCTCCTGCCTCCTAGGGCAGAATCTTAGTATTGCACCTAAGCGTCAGGCCTAGGAAGATATAAGGAGAGACAAAGGGTGGGGGTAGGTGGGTGTGTGAAGGACTGTGAGGCAAGAGCCAATGTCCCTGCCCCATAAACCCCTTCTCCATTCACTTTGCCTTTGGGCAATTTCCTTCAGAACCTGGGTGGGGGAGGGTGGATTTCCGGTGTTGAAATGGCATCCTGGACAGACATAAACACCCCACCCACTCTGCCCAATGGCCAGGGGCCTGTGCCTATACCAACTCTCAGCTCTGGGGATGGCAATAGAACAAGGGGGTAGGGGCAGGGGCTGGAGGAGGTCCTCTTTCTGAAGAATAATTTGCAGCTCTCTCTAATTATGTTGTGAGATTCGAAGAGTGGACTCCATAACCAAATAGGCCATCCTTGTGGTAATCTAAGGTCATGCAATTTGAGGTCATTCCGTCCCATCCTCTGTTCTTCTATGTTTCCCCTCCCCCTAGCCTGACTGCTTCTACTTATATGACAGGAGTAGGGAGTAGTGTCCGGCCTTAAGAGATCAGGAGGTCCCTGCCAAATTTACTCGGAATTTCTTGCCGAAGGCAGGGAGAACAGATGCAGGGAAAACGGGTGACAGGGAATAGGGAGGTAGGATGAGGAGAAGACTGACAGAGAGAAGATGAAGGCAGAGGTGAGGGTTTGCTGAGAAAATTAAGCTGTCCAAGCAGAAAGGGACCTCCAAGTTCTACTTGTCCAACACTCTAGTTTTACAAATGAGGAAAGAGGCTCAGAGAAGTGCGATGACTTGCCCAACCAACATCACACAGCTACTTTGTGGCAGACCTGCAGCTAGAGCCCAGATCAAAAGAAAAGGGGCTGGGGGGGAATACGTATTCAAGGCTCTAAAGCAGTGGTTCTCAACCTTTTGGCCCTTTAAATACCGTTCCTCATGTTGTGATCCAAGCATAAAATTATTTTCGTTGCTACTTCATAACTGTAATGTTGCTACTGTTATGAATCGTAATGTAAATATCTGATAGGCAGGATGGTCTTAGGCGACCCCTGTGAAAGGGTCGTTCGACCGCCAAAGGGATCACGACCCACAGGTTGAGAACCACTGTTCTAAAGAGATATTCCCTAAAAGAGGAAAAAAGAGACTGAGATCCCACAGAAAGAATCGATGAAGCAGACCACTATTAAAGGCTTGGGGTATGGAGACAGAGGGTGAGAAGGCACCTAGAAGGCGATATAGGCTATTAGACTAGCCGCGAGTAGACTCAGTCAGTAGAGGTTCCAGACCTGACTCTGCTATTTACCAGCCTGGGTTTCAATGTCTCAATGGACCTTATAGGATCTTGGTGAAAATCAGCCTCATAAACAAATGCTTGTAAAACACTAGTACAGTTCTTGACAAATGCTTAATACATCTTTGTTACCTTGGAAGAGGAAAGGTCCCTGGCTGTGGGTTGGGGTATGGACAAGATGACCCTGCAGGGACACGGGGCAAAGGTCCAGTGACTCCAGAGACCATTCCTCCTCTGCTGTTTGCAGCTGATAAACCTCTTATCTGGCCCAGGCAGGGGAGTCCAGGGCCAGGATAGGAGGAGAGGGCAGGGCAGCTATCAGGCACCAGGCCTGGGCCATATCTCAGAGAAGGGGAGGGACTATCTGCGTGGTTCTTCCCACAACACACTCCTTGGGGATCCCCAAGCACTCGCTCTCATCTTGGGAAGAAAAGGCTGAGATCCTAAAACTGAGAACAGAGGAGGAAAGCAGGAGTGATCCCTGATGTTGCCTCAGAAAATGGGGAGGAAGAATCCAGAAGACGTGACTTCTGCCCCAGCCAGTGTTACAGTTTTGGGGAGAAAGAAATAGGGTAAAGAGAAGGCATCTTGTCTGAAAAAAGGGTAAAGACCTAATGTGCTCCCAAAGGAACTGACTACAGCCATAGCAGAGGAGGTGGAGGTCACACTGCAGAAAAAGACATTCTAGCTTGAGGAGCTGGTTGATGAGTCTAGCGTGAGGGGGAGGGGATGAGGTCTCTCCTCTCAGGTACATTGGAAGGAGCCTCTCTCTGGAGGCAGGCAGGGTAAAATTGCTGACCCCCTAGTAGGAGAGCCCTAACCCCATTTCTCCTTTGATACAGGTTGCTGGGGCCATTTGGGTTTTGGGGGACCCTGGACCAGGCCCTGGCCCAGTAGGATGCCCCCGTGTCCTCCCCAGCAGAGCAGGAACAGGGTGACACAGCTGCCCACTCCGGAGCTGGGTGAGATGGAACTGACTTGGCAAGAGATCATGTCCATCACTGAGCTTCAGGTG